ATTTAGTGAGAACCTAAAAGACTTGCCCAAGGATGCAGCCGAAAGTTAGACCCCAGTTCCCAAGACACATTTCCTCTGCACTCTGTCATTCTTGCCTCTGGAGCTTCTGTGGGCCTCTTGGGGCTGTGCTGAATAATCACGCCCTGGAAATTATGATGGTTTTGGAGGCTTGCCCAGTCTGGCTCCTGACACAGATGGTGCAGTAGAATCAGCCTGTGGGAGGGTGCACTTCGCCACGTGCAGGGGCTGCAAGCGCCAGGACAGAGCTCTGGGGCACAGAAAGTCATCTCCCACTTGGCACCACCCAGGAGGGCCCCTGGGGCGCTAGGCATGGTCGTAGCAGGAGCGTGAGACCCGGGCTAATCCCTAGAAGAAAAGGGACCATCTACTGTGCCCTTACAATGGGCAAAACGCTTTATGGACACTATTTGGTTGATTCTGGTGCGAGACCTGCCGGAAACATATTATTCTCCCCATCTGCAGCTGATGAAACAGGACCAGAGACTGAGCTGGCCAAGAATCACACAGGTAGCCAGGGGAAGGATGCGTTTTTAAACCCAATGTGTCAGGTTTCTGAGCAAATTCTTACACCACGATGTAGCATGGCCTCAGACAAAGAGAAAGCTCAAGACTTCATGAAAGTACAGGATATAAGGACCCAATATAAGAAGAATAAGGAGAGAGCCAGAGGGGGCCGGAGTGAGCCCTCGTAGTGGAAGGCTTAGGAGGGGGTTCCTGGCCCTCGGAGCCGGAGAGCCCGGGATCCAAGGAGGAAGAACTGGCTGGTGCGTAGACGTGCGGAATGCAGGGCGCCTGGCCGGCTCAGTCGGCTGAGCATCTGATTTCAGCTCAGGTCATGATCTCAGGGTCCTGGGATGGGGCTGTGTCGTCGGGCTCCCTGCTCAGCGGGCGTCTGCTTGGCCCTCTGCCTCTCCCCCCACTTGTACTTTCTCACTCTCTTTCTCTCTCAAATAAATAAATAAAATCTTTTAAGAAAAGAAGAAGAAGAAGCGCAGAATGCAGCAGGGCTCTGGCAGGGGAGTGGAAAAGGAGAGGGGCCTGGGCGGAGGAGGTCTCCAACATGCGGGTAGAGGTCAAAGCATTGTCCTGTTTCCCCAGGCCACACCCTTCCTTCCTCCCCGCTATTTTTAGCAAAAGGAATTTTTACTTCCACCTTATATGGAAACATTCATTCAACGGTCCTAGATCTGGAAGAAGAAAATGCAGTCCCGTGGACCAGTCATCTAGTCCAAAGGAAAATGCAGGGAAACGACCCTGTCCTTGATGGTATGTCTCAGATGCCTGCTTCTGAGAAAGGGGCACAGAGGGGGGAGGGGTGGCATTGTGCTTCCCACGGAGGGAGGGGGCTCGCGAAGGAGCACGGCTGACACTCAGCAGCCCAGGCCTCTCCTGGGCGACTCTGGGCACTTGATGTTCCTGACTCATTCTGCCCCCTCCAGAGGGAAAGGCAGAATGGAATGGCCTGGAATCCTTCTTGCACTTAACGGTTTGAAACTTCTCCAACTTGGACCTGGGGGCGCGAGCAGAGCGAGACAAGAAAAAGGAGTCACCGAAGAGGTGATTTAGCAGCGGTCTCATTGACGGTATGAGATTGTGTTTGAGCCTGACCTCATCCGCATGGATTTTGTACCTTGAGATTTTCTTATCATCTGCAAGAAAAATGTAGATTTGAGTCGACTGTGCGTGTTGTCTCAGATAAAGGGCACAGATTTTGATGTCAGGCAAGGGTTCAAAGGGTAAACCCTCGAGGAGGCAGCTCACCCTCTCTGAGCACCTGATGCCTCATCTCTAGAAGAAGGATCACAGCACACACCTCGCAGGGTTCGAGGAGTTTCCGCAAAGAGAACACAGAGCACAGATCCTGGCAGGACTCCTGCAAATCATCCATCCGGAATGACAAAAGTGCAAGATGGAGTTAGCTGAGAATTGAAATCCATCCGGTAATTTTTCCAGCACCAAACACGCACCTTTGTCTTTCATGCACAGGCGCGGCTCCGAAACTCTGCAGACGGAGAACAGAAGCCTAGACGGTGGCTTCCCCTCTTAAGTGAATGAATTGAGATCTGAACCCCCATCTGCTGGATCCAACCCCAAATCGTCTTTTCCCAGATTCCCTGGTGGAGCAATCTGCCGGGAAGGGATTCAGCTTGGGGGTTGCTTCCGGAAGCCCCACTGTTTTCACAGGTCACTTTTAACCTCCCCTTGTTCTCGGAACACCCTTCATTCTGGCTTGAATGGAACCAGCCTCCGCAGCGACCTGGGACAAGGGGATCTCGCAGCTGCTTCTTTGGGTCAGTCCAGGCGTTTCTAGCATTACCACCCAACGCATGACAAACGTTGCTATTTATACTGTGCCTCAGTGCTTTCCAAGGAGTTCGCTCACCCCCTGTGAGGTAGGAGGGGAGTATTTTTGCCCTGATGTTGCAGCTGGGAACAGGGGTGGGGAACATCCTGACTCGTGGGCGGAGGGGAGGCATAGGGGCTCCGGGCCCTGGGTTCGTTGCACCTGCTGCTGCACACCCCTGGGGGGCTCTCACTAGCATGACTCCTCCAGCCACTCAGCCTTTTGTCCCAGCGGTTCTTGTCACCTAGAGGCCGAGCTGTGGGGAGGGCTGAGCGGCAAAGCACCTGGAAGCTCAGGAGTAACAAGGCTGTTCATTCTCTCCAGGGACTGAGACAGTAAGCTCCTTAAATATGCACTTCCTGGGGTGCCTGGGTGGCTCAGTTGGTTGGGCGACTGCCTTCGGCTCAGGTCATGATCCTGGAGTCCCGGGATCGAGTCCCACGTCGGGCTCCCTACTCAGCAGGGAGTCTGCTTCTTCCTCTGACCCTCCCCCCTCTCGGGCTCTCTCTCTCTCTCAAATAAATAAATAAAATCTTTTTAAAAATGCATTTCTTCCAACTGGTGGTGACTTTCACTTCACCGTGATTGCAGCTAAGGATGTGGCATGACATCAGGGTGTGTGAGTCACTTCATCCACTGGGGACTTACATTGGGGTGTGCTCTCTTGTACCCCACAGCACCCCTTGCGCCGGCCCAGGGCCCCCGATCATCTACAGAGCCGAAACCTGCCCCCCACAGGCCCCTCTGACCACACCGGTTTCTCAGGAAACCGACCGCCCAACCTAGGCTGCAGCATTTCTAACTTGTCTCCGCTTGGTCTGTAACCCCTTCTCGGGCCCAGCTTGGAGCCCTGGTCTAGGCCCAAGCCCCCTGATGGCAGCTTTGTCCACACTACTCAGGCCAATCATCTCCCAGCTAAGGGCTTGGGGCAGGCAGACCTAGGTCCCAGTCCCAGTTCTACCCCTTTATGAGCAATGCGGGCTTAACTATGTTACTACACTTCTGTGAGCCTCTGTTTTTCCATCTGTATAATGGGAATAATACTACCATCTACCTTCTAGTGAAGGGTGAGATGCAGCAGGCAATGCACTTAGCACAGTGACCAGCACGTGGCAAAGGTTGAGTGAATGATGTGTGTGTGTGTGAACATGTGTGCACGTGTGTGCGAGCACACCCATGTGAATGTGTATATCCCTCTTGAGTCTTGACTCCTTCACTGTATTCTTTCGCTGTCTACCAATTCGAGCACCACGGGGCTACATCATTTCTACCTTCTCAAGAATCCTGGTTTCCTATTTCGTCCTTCCTCGTGCTTTATGGCTTCCTAACCTCTTTTCCCACACCCATTCCCTAGCGCTTTGTGGCTTTCATTTCTCCTGCTCATTTCAAATGGTTTACAATAGCAACATATCAACATTTACAACATTTTCAGTCCTATCTAACAGGACAGGGAGTGGAAGCTGTTGGACTAGCTGCAGAATTAATTGAAGCAATGAATTATTTTTTTAAAAAAGGAAGGAAAACTTACGAAGGATGCAAATAGGCAATTCACAGAAGAGCAAGTCCAGATGATCAAAAAAAACATAAAAAGCTTTCAGACTCTAGCAATCAGGGAATGTAAATTTAAGTAGCAATGAGATACTTCTTTGCCTCTATCAGAATGACCTACATTTTAAGACTGATGATACCTCTTGCTGGTGGGAATGCGGGGAAAAAGTTACTTTAATCATCACTCTTGGATGGCACAGCAATCTTTGGAAAGCAATCTGGCAACATCTACTAAAAATGAAAATTAAAAATACATATATCTGTTCCACTTCTGGGAATCGACCCCACGGAAATAAAAAGACAGCTGACCCTGGAACAACATGGGTTTGACTGTGTGGGTCCACATATATGCAGATTTTTCCCCATAAACACAGCACAGCACTGTAAATGTATTTTCTCTTCCTTATGATTTCCTTAGTAACATTTTCTTTTCTCTGGCTCCCTTCATTGTAAGAATACACTATATAATGCATAGGACATACAAAGTGTGTGTTAATTGACTGTTTATGTTATCGGCAAGGCTTCTGGTCAACAGTAGGCTACTTAGTAAAATTCTTGGAGAGTCAAAAGTTATACAGGGATTGTGGACGGCGTGGGCGTCAGCGCCCCAACCCTTACGTTGTTCAAGGGTCAACTGTGCCAGAATGTACGACTATATGCACAAGGTTGTATAATAAATTGTTGCTTGTGGTGGAAAACAAAACCTAGAAACAAAACAAATGTCCTTCAGAGGTGGGGAGGGTGAATATATTAGGACATGTGAAGAAATATTCCGCAGCCATTAAAAAGAACAGTTGGAACTAGATCTGATGATTCATAGGGATTACCATGAGTAATTGGTGAGAAGAAGTGAAGTGCAGGAAATTGTACATAAAATTATGCCACTCCTAAGAAGAAATATGCCACCCTTCTCCACCCTCTGGCCCCATTGTGTATGTGAGCCAACATGCAGGAGCACGGAGGAAACATGGCAGAAGCCAGGCCCAGCTCTCATCCTGGTCTTGGAGGCAGATGGGAGAAGGTGAGGGAGGGCCCCATCAGAAGAAAAGGAAAAAAAAGGACTGCATCAAAATTCAAACAACATATATCACATAATCCCATTTCTCTATTAATGTAAAAGCATGTGTGTGGGTATACGTGAGAAGAAAATTTGAATTACATATACGTATCTTGAACATTTTGTTAACCCAAAACATACACGTGTACATTCCTTCACCAGTAGTTTGACATAGAGTCAAGGCCTTTGCATTGAGAATATGTCTATTTTTTTTTTTTTTGGGAGTTCTGCCGTACCGTGCCTGTGTACAAAAATCACACCCTGGATGCATTGTCTACAATTTCTGACTTTGGTTTCCACAGAGCGGAGCGTGAACTTAGACACCTGAAAACAAGTTGAGTACAGGAACCTTTTAGATACCATGCTTTGCCTCCGATCCTTCCCGTTGTCTTGCCTCCATCCAATCCAACAATAACCTTATTTTAGGATCTCTCCTTTATTAAGTCTCTGCTGTCAGCTTGGTTCTGGCAGAAACAATAACTCTTTCTTTCACACCCACATTTCCCCAGTTTATGTGACATTCTTTGAAGCACTCCAGCATGGAACAGGCTTGGGGGAAAACACATGTCACTGCAGGTGACATTCAGGTCAACAGGGAAGCCACAGTGCCCTGTGGCCCACGCATTCAGTGTGCCCCCCGCGAGGGAAGGGCCGCCGGCGTTTCACGGGGAGGATGCACGGGGTCACCCAGCCCGGCGAGTCAGTCACCAGGGGCGGAAGTCCACGTGCTGTCAATGGGAGAGTGGGGAGCTGCCCTGTTGGGTCATATCCAGCTCTCTGTGTGACTCAGTCAGTTATTCTGTGATTGAAATATCTGGGGTTGGGGGTGAGTGTGGGGGTCAGCAGACATGGAGGAGCCCACCCCTTTCACCATACATTGGGTAGCATTTCGCTGCTATGGTAAGAAGTGTGGGGTAAGTGGCTTGACCGGGGGCGGGCCGTCCAAGGGTTTGCAATCCTGTCTTGGGCTGGGTGATGCAGCGTCGGGACAGGCCTCCGGCCCAGCTTCACGTCTCCCAACTTGCTAGGTAACTTTGGACATACCGTTTTAGGTCACTACACCTGTTCCCCTCTCTGCAAAATGGGGCAACACCATCTCACTCACCGTTTTCCTGAGGTTCAGATGAGATGGGTCTTCACAGAAGTACTTACCACCGCGAGAGGACCGGCCAGGTGTTTTGCAGGTGTGCGCACCTTACATAACATCTGTAGCAACAGGATGGGAGGAGGAATTTCATCCCTTCAACAAGCAGCAAGGTTTACGGCAAGAACTTGCTCTTGGGCCAGAGGGACAGGGTCTGGGTACGCTTGTGGCAAGAGCTTGCTGCTCGTCTTTGGGCAAGTTGCTTCATCGCTCTGAGCATCGGCCTGTCACCTGGGAAACGGAAGACAAGAGTGGGAAAAATCACACCTCACTTGAGCAGCTATGGTGAGGATCACATAGAGCTTCTGAGTCCAAAGGCGTCTGGTACACAGGAGAGGCTCAATAGATGCTATTCTTGTGGACGTGATTCTTAGTCTACAAACTAAGACGTGAAGGAAATGGAATGTCCTCTAATGTCCATAACTCCACTTATTTCTGACTCAGCTCTCATTTCTCTTTGTTGGTGGAAAACTTAAACCCCAGCCCTTTTCGGGGAATGCTCCCACTGTGGCACTGTGCGCTGTGACTTCACGTTGTAAAGATGTGGGGGTGGAGGGTTCTTGCCCCCGATGCCCCAGCCACACAGGCTGGGGTGTCCAAAGGAATGTCCTCTGCCGTGTCTATCCGTCCTGTTGTTCTCTACTGCTTCTGGGCGTATTTAGAGCACACAATTGTCTCCATGGCTTGGGGCACAGAGCCAAGAAAAAAAATGGATGCAAGACAATAGGGAAGCAGAGAGTCAATGGTGAAACAGAGAGTGGTGTGCATCTAAAGACATCTAAATAAAAAAAAAAAAAATTAACACTGTGAAGGCTACACAAAACACACCTATGGGCTGACTCTTTCCCACCCTGTGGACACAGTGGGCCCTCACTCTCTTAGAGCTCTACCTCACCCCTTCTGACGCTCCCCCTGGTTCCCTGTTTTATTCTTCTCTTAGCCCTTAATACTGTACGTCCCTTGTTTAACTGGTTTCACGTCTGTCTTCGCCACTAGAATGCAGGGCCACGAAGGCAGACTTTTGTCTTTCTTGTTCACTGTTATATCCCAAGTGTCCAGAACAGTGCCTGGCACATAGTAGGCACTCAGTTAACATGTTGGATGATTGGATGGATGGACGGATGGATAGATGGATGGATGGACAAGTGACTTCATTGTCGAAGGAATGAATTGGTTTTCTTTCTTCTCCTATGATACTTCTGCTATCAGAAGATTCTCAGCTGGGCTGGGACTAGGGTGAGGCCAGTGAGACCCTCAGCTAGGGGGCAAAACTTAAGGGGGCACCAAAAGAACTCAGTAATCAAGATAAATAATACTTAATGCAATATACTTAAGATTCAAAATTAGCAAAAAAAAAATCTGTGAAGAGCGAAATCTCAACATTTTAAATAAACACGTGATCTGAAGGGCTTTACAGTGAGCTAAAGTTAGTTGGAAAACTAAGATCATCACCTGATCAAGAGAAATTCTTTCCCTCCCCCCGCCCCGGGGAACAGCAGGGGTGATAACGTTTTTAATTCCTGTGGGTGAGGTAAACCTGGGTGCTTGGGCCAGGCTGGTGTTGGCCTCCAAAGCCTGGCCAGGGTTGCATAGTACCAAGGGACACAGCCAGCCCCTTGGGCAGCCCTCAGTAGTCGTCATCAGCCCACCTGGTCAAGAGAAATTCCTAAACATGGCAATGTTATCCATTGAAAATAAGATAAGCAAAGAAGTAGACTTTGAAATTCTTACTGAGTTTTTCATTAAAGCCGGGAAAGTACTATTCTAATAAACACTATTTTAGGGTATAAATAAAATATTTAAACTTAAAATACTGTTGAGTTCTAATACACCTACTTTTCAATTTTTCAATTCCTTGTTGTTGTTGTTACTGTAATGTTCTAGAAAAATCTTGCTCGTTAAGAAAATACATACAGATGTGTATACAGGGGCACACATTTTTTTTCTTTTGCTCCAGTCTCCAAATGATTGGCCAGGAGAGGTGTGGTTATTAAGTGGTTTCATGAGTCATTTTTTTTAAGATTTTATTTATTTATTTGACAGAGAGAGACACAGAGAGAGAGGGAACACAAGCAGGGGGAGTGGGAGAGGGAGAAGCAGGCTTCCCGCCGAGCAGGGAGCCGGACGTGGGGCTGGATCCCAGGACCCCGGGATCACGACCTTAGCTGAAGGCAGACGCTTAATGACTGAGCCACCCAGGTGCCATTCATGAGTCATTTTTAAACAGGTCTCTAACTGCTCTGGCCTGAACTGATTATTGCATCTGAAGGAGTGAAGGGGGGCAGATTTCAGGAGGCTGGTGAGTGATTGCGGTGGTCTTGATTGGGGTGCTTTTCAATGATTCCCAAATCAACACACATAGGTCTACTACTTTATTTTTGTTTTGTTTCGTTTCTTGTTTTTTTCTTTTTTCTTTCTTTTTTTTAAACAACTCTTTATTTAAATTCAATTTAGTTAACATATAGCATATCATTAGTTTCAGAGGTAGAATTCAGTGATTCATCCGTTGCATAGAACACCCAGTGCTCACTACATCACATGTCCCCCTTAAGGCCCATCACCCAGTTACCACATCCACCCACCTACCTCCGCTCTAACAACCCGCGATTTGTTTCCTATGATTGTCTCTTATGGTTTCCCTCCCTCTCAATTTTCATCTTATTTTATTTTTCCTTCCCTTACCCTATGTTCATCGGTTTTGTTTCTTAAATTCCACATATGAGTGAAATCATATGTTATTTGTCTTTCTCTGACTGACTTATTTGACTTAGCATAGTACCCTCTAGTTCCAACCACATCGTTGCAAATGGCAAGATATATATATATATATATATACACATATGGGCTCTTTCCATATTTGGGCTATTGTGGGCATTGCTGTTATAAATATTGGGGTACATGTGCCCCTTCAGATCACTGTGTTTGTATCCTTTGGGTAAATGCCTAGTAGTGCAAACACTGGGTCATAGGGCAGTTCTATTTTTAACTTTTTGAAGAACCTCCATACTGTTTTCCAGAGTGGCTGAACCAGTCTGCATCCCCACCAACAGTGCAGGAGGGTTCCCCTTTTTCTGCATCCTGGCCAACACCTATTGTTTCCTGATTGTTCATTTTAGCCACTCTGACCGGTGTGAGGTGGCATCTCATTGTGCTTTTGATTTCTATTTCCCTGAACAGAGGCCTACTACTTTAATCAATAGTTTTTTTTGTTGTTTTTTTTTTTTTTTTTGCATGAAAGCCTCTTGAAAAATAAATCTTGAAGAAAAAAAAAAGATTAAGAAGAGGAAGAGGGTGGAGAGAGGAAGAACTCTAACTCCCCCGGCTGCCCAGGGAACCCACACATCTGCTCACTTCACTCTCACTTCCGCCACCCCCGGCCACTCCCGCTCGGGCCACATAGGCCCTGGGCTGCTACTAGGCCTCTCACTACATGGCCCAGTGGCCAGGGCTGGGCTTCCTCTGGCTGGTAGACACACACAGCTGACCTTTTAGTTGAGGGTGGGGGGCATAAAACTGAGGGTTTCAGAGGTCTCCCCACTCTGTGTGGAAGAGTGGCCACATGCCTCTAACTTCTCTTAGTGTAGCTTGGTGGTGAAGAGCCCTCTGGGGCTGCATTGCCTGGGTTAGAGGCCCAATTCTTTCGCTTATAACCGGCTGACCTTGGACAGGTGCCTGTGGCTTTCCTCATGCATGAATCAGAGAGAGCAGTAGCACCTGCCTGTCCCTTGGTGAGGGCTGCTGATGGAGCCAGAGGCCTCCCGGAGGAGCACCAGGGATGCAGAGATGAGGCCGAGGGTGGGGGGGGCAGTTCCAGTGCTGACTGTGGAGGGAGGTTCCACTGGCTCTGCAGGGGGACAGCCCGGAAGGAGGGGCTGGGCAGGGAATGGGAATGCAGAAGAAGATGGATGAGCAGGGCATGTGGATGCGGGGCAGAGCGTGGCTAAGGGTGGCCGGGAGGAGACATACAGTGGGACGACTGGTCTCAAGAATCTTTTTTTTTTTTTTAAAGATTTTATTCATTTGAGATAAAGAGTGAGCATGAGTGAGGTGGGGGTTGGTCGTGGGCAGAGGCAGAGGGAGAAGCAGACTCCCCGCTGAACTAGGACCCTGATGCGGGGCTCGATCCCAGGACCCTGGGATCATGACCTGAGCCGAAGGCAGTCGCTTAACAACTGAGCCACCCAGGCGGCCCTGTCTTGAGATTCTAAGTTGAACTCTGGTTCATGACACTTTCACAGACTCACTGGCTGGTGTTTGAGGCTAGATGATTGTTCTTGGCTCTGACTTCCAAATAGAAGGTCGCTTTATCCTCTGGTAATTTTCAGCCCCAGGCAGAGTGGGGAAAACTGTAGTTGGGGTCCTGAGATTAGGGAAGTCACCCACATAGCCCGTCAGCCTCCAGGGCTGAGCCAGGGCTGAAGCAGCTGATGGGGAAGCCTGGCTCCAGGGGTGGGGGAGGGCTGCCTTTCCCAGGGCCAGCCCTCCTCTAATTGCTTAGTTCTTTTTGTTATAATAACGGTTTTATTGGGACATAATTCACACACAGTACAAGCCACTCATTTGAAGTGTACAATTTGATGGTTTTAGTCTAACAGTTATACAATTACTACAATATCAGAACATTGTCATCACCCCAAAAAGAAACCAGGCCCTCATTAACAGTCACTCCTTCCCCTGACCCAACATCCTCCTCCCAGCTCTGGGCCACTAGGAATCCACTTTTTAGCTCTATAGATGTGCCTATTCTGGACATTTTGTATGGATGAAATTATATAGTATGTGGTCTCTTTGGACTGGTTTCTTTCACTGAGCACATTTTCAAGGCTCACGATGTGGTAGCACATATCAGACACTCATTATTATTATTACTATTTTTAAGTAGGCTCCATACCCAGCAGGGAGCCCAATGTGGGGCTTGAACTCATGACCCCGAGGTCAAGACCTGAGCTGAAATCAAGAGTCAGACACTTGCTTAACCAACTGAGCCTCCCAGGCGCCCTCAGATCCTCATTACTTTCTACACTGACTACTATCCCATTGTCTAAATGTACCACGTTTTATCTTTTCTTCAGTTGAGGGACAAATGGATTGTTCCATTTGGCTATTATGAGTAATGATCTATGAACATTCATATGCAAGTTTGTGTGGACATGTTTTTATTTCTCTTGGGGATATACCAAGGAGTGGAACAGCTGGATCATATGGTTATAATTCCTTCGTTCTTTGTCTAT